AGCACAAACATTTCTTACTATAAGTCAAGATGATAAAATTAGCATCACTAAAGCATTTGTAAATGGTTCAATGAGATAGGTATTTTATATTTATATAGTTACTTTGCTTATTTTAGATACAGAAGTATTGTATTTTATTTAATAATTTTTATAGTACTTTATTTAGGATTTTTTGGATTAAAAAATTATGTTTTTATTATTTATTTATATGTTTTTAAGTATGATTTTTATTTGTTTAAAATAAAATTTCTTTGAAAAAAAATTATAATTATGCAATTATCTGTTTATAGCTATTAAACAAGATATTTGATTTTCTGTTACATTTCTTACTGAATTCTTTGTTTTACCAAATATAGGAATGAATTTTCATTCTCTATTTCATTTCCATTTATCTGAAATTTTTTCTCTATTCCATTCTCTATACTAAACGTAATCTTATATTATATAATACTAATGAATTACTTTAGTCTTTTTACTTTGAATAAAAACTAATCTTTGAATGTAATATATTAAATAAAATGCTAGTATATAAATATAATTTAATATTTGTAAAAATAACATTCATTTCGTCGGCCAAATTTATTTTTATTTCTTTTTAGTTCGTCGACTAAATTTACATATTACTAATTTTGTAAAATTCAATAACTCAATCTTTAATTATTACCTTTTATTCAAAACTAATTTAAAACCAATATTACTGTTTTTATTACTCTATTCTATTTTTATTTAATTTAATTTTTAACTAAATTTTTAAAAATCATTTCACCTATTTTTTTTAAGTATATCATTTTTTTAATAAAATATTTATTTATTTTTTTAATCTATGTGTAAGACTCCTTAATTTTAATGGATGAATGGAGTAACAATAAACTATCGTAAATAAATAATAAAAATATGTATTTAAAACACACTCGGTTAGTCGTCTTCAGACCGAAGTTGAGTAGTACAACTTCAATGAGCTTCGTCGTACTCGTACCATGCCTACTCATCTACTTAGGCCTAGACCTAGTTGCATCTACGTACAATATAGTTCTTTAGGTTCAAGAGCATTTGGCCGGTCAATTTTCACTCAACAACTTTTCTTTTTTTTTTCCTTTTTTTTTAAAAAAATAATTAATTAATAAATAAATAAACTTTATGTTGGGATATGAAGCTTGATTATATCCTAAAATCTAGGGATATGATTTGTGTATTATATTTTAGATTTTAGAGATATGATTTTGATATTATTGTCAAAGGCTTAGACTATAAATATCCATGTATTCTCACTTTAACAGGTATCTGCATACTTTATAGTAGAATTCCTGGCTTGGCAGCGCCTCCAGACGTAGATCATCGTAATCGAACTGGGTTACCAAATTCTTGTGCTCTTTTGTCTTTATTATCTCATCTTGATTTCCTGGGAATTTCTGTAACAAGTGGTATCAGAGCCTAGTTCGTTGATAGGGTAGATTGAGAGGAATCGGACGTTGGATCGTTGTGGGAATCCCTTGTGACCTGCGGAGGTGCCTTGTGTCGAAAGTCTTCTGGCGGTGTTGGGTTGGTCCCGACTGGTAGGTCAGACAGCGGGTCCCTTTGTGATAGGCGGTGCAAGGTTGGCGGGAAAGGATAAGGGTTTCGGCAAACGCAGCGGAGGAAATATCCGATGTGCTCTCATATCAAGTGAACCTTAGGTTTGTTTGTGGGAGTCAAGATGGGTGATCATCATGTTGTCAAGGTATTCGATGGTATGAACTTAGGTTTCCAAAATATGCATATAGAAGATTACATGAATGGTAAAGATCTAGATGCGGTATTGAAGGAGAAATCCGAAGACATGGATGAAGCCGAATACAAGAAGATCGACAGGAAGACGATGAGTGCGGTTCGACTAACCCTTTGGGAGAATGTCTTGACTGAATTTAGATTTGAGGCAAAAGAAAAGGGTGAGATCAAGTCAAAGTTGAAGCCGAAAAATAAGGACAAAGAAGATGCAAGTCAGGTGGTATGTTGGAACTGAAAGGGGCACTTGAAACGACAGTGCAGGGCGCCGGAGAAGGATCAGGGTTCAGCAAACGCAACGGAGGAGATATCCGATGCACTGATTCTGAGCGTCAGCAGTCCAATGAAGTCATGGATTTTGGTCTCAGGAGCGTCATTTCACTCATGCAGTGATTCGAGAATCATGGGATCCTATACCACAGGTAATTTTGGTGTTGTCTATCTTGCAGATGATAAGACACTGAAAATTGTATGTAAAGGAATGATTCGAATCAGAACACCGAATGATGGGGAGTGGAGATTGGATGAGGTATGTTGAAGTGGAAGATGAAATCAGTCTTCAAGTGGGAGATTGTTGGGATATGAAGCCTGATTATATCTTAAAATCTAGGGATATGATTTGGATATTATAATATAGATTTTAGAGATATGATTTTGATATTATTGTCAAAGGCTTAGGCTATAAATATCCATGTATTCTCACTTTAACAGGTACCTGCGTACTTTGTAGTAGAATTCCTGGCTTGGCAGCGCCTCCAGACGTAGATCATCGTAATCGAACTGGGTTACCAAATTCTTGTGTTCTTTTGTCTTTATTATCTCATCTTGATTTCCTGGGAATTTCCGTAACACTTTAGTTATTAAATTGTGTATTCTGTAACCAAAATTATTTAGTTGGAGTTTTTTAATAATAATTTAAATTTGATATTTTGTGAGATAAAATAATTATATTTTTATAAAACAATAAAATAAAAAAAAATTGGGAAAAATATCACAAAAAAATAAATAAAAATCTTTAATAAACTACACGTTCTACTACCATACTTAGATGCCAACATCAAATGTTATAGTCTATAATCTGTTTTTTAATAATTAATTTTGAATATATTATAGTTTAAAAATAAAAAATGACAAACCCAAAAATCTCGTCTAAAAACGCGATAATACTAGTGTTTCACGTGTTTTGTGGCATTTTCAATATTTTAAACTATTCTAGAAAATCATAAAAATATGTATATATAGTTATAATATTTTAAAATAAATAAAAAAAAAAGCAATTCTTTATGTGTTCGTACGAAGGTTTGGATTTTAATTTTTAATTTGAATATGTTGGACATGGGTCAAAAAGCATCTAAACGTGAAGCAGACTCAAAGATAAAAGTGGAGTCAGAGCTCATTAGGCACGAAGCCGCTCAACATAAATGGAACTTCAAGCCTCATAGTCAAAGACTGCTACCTCCACAGAGCCGAAGACAACAGTTTCCATTAGATTGTGGTGCTTCCACAGGGCCGAAAGCAGCAGTCTCCATGGACCTTAGGGCAGCAACTCCTTGGACTATGATGCCTCCATCCCGGAACAATGTTTCCATAAGATCAGAAAGCGTTGTCTCCATTGGGTTGAAAACAACTACCTCAATTGGACTGCGGTACTTCCACAAAGCAGAGGAAGGTTGCCTCCACAAGATAGAAAGCAACAACTTCTACAGATCATGAGATAACTATCTCCGTTGGCCCTGGATTAATAATTTTGTACTTAACATTAGTGGAGGGCCTATTCACTTTCATATTTTTATTCAAAAAGCTCCATGGAACAAGTCAACAAGAGGACAACGGGAGATTCCATTTAACTTGAGGCTGTTGGGGATACATCCCCGTGGACCGGCTAAGAGTACGATGGAAACAAGTCGGAGTAAGCGGCAGATCTGGTTCGGAGGCAATGGAAGAAGTTCAGAGCAAATGGAACCCAGTCCAAAAGCAATGGAAGCGGTTGGGAGCCGATAGAAGGAGGTTACCAGGTGGTTAAGAGCTGATGGAAGGAGGTTACCAGGGAACTGATGGAAGGAGGTTACCAGATAGTTGGAGGTAGTGGAAGGAGGTTACCAAACAGTTGGAGGTAGTAGTGGGAGGTTACCAGGCAGTTGAGAGTGGTAGAGGAATAAGTGGAACTACCTTATTTAGTGGGAAGAGACTGTTATTCTATCTTAGGATTAAAACTAGGAAAAAAACACATCATACACACGCACAAGAAGATGAAATCGTATTTTTCTCTATTTTATTTTCATGTTTTAGTTTCGTTTTATGCATTTTAATTCGAATTACATGGTTTTTATCCGCTTTCTAGTACATTTATCCGAGTTTTAGTAGATGTTAGTTTAAATCCATCGAAATCGATCGTATAGGCTCGAAGCCGTGCAGGCTCCACCGAAGGAGCCGCCCAAAATCCGATGACGGACAGGCTCTTTGGAGTACTTCCGGAACCCACACCGACAAATCGACAAACTATTTTGGAACCTCCGAATTTTAGGATCCAACAATTGCCACGCCTAGTGGGACCAAAGTTGGATTTTTCGAAGAGTGATGAAGAGGTTCATATGGGGTTCATTTGTACCGCCTGAAAAAAGCTACGGAATTGTTGCAGAACATCCAATGCTTCAGGCCTTAGGGCCGGGGCAGGCAAGATCAGGTTGGAACCAACAACCTGCAGGAAGCTGGAAGCAACAACCTACAGAGGGCTGGTACTACCAGTCTGCGGAAGGTTGGTTCCAACAACCTGCGGATGGCTGGAGCCAACAGCCTGTGGAAGGCTGGCAACAGCCTGCGGAGAGCTGGAACTATCAGTTTGCGAAAGATTAGAACGAACAGCCTGCGGATGGATAGAGCCAATAGCCTATGAAAGGCTGGCGATAGCCTGCGGAGCGCTGGAGCCAATAGGCTGCGGAGGGCTGGAACCCCGTGGCCGTTGGAGTTTTGAAGAGTAGTGTTGAGCCTCCATGAGGGGCAAGCAAATTTTCAACATTTGGCATGATCCCGCCAGGGCGATTAAGCGGACAACCTATGTGGAATGCCCCAACACCACCATGGGATGTCACAGTCCGAACGTGGGTAATCTTCAATGGAAAAGGGTCATTGAAACACAGGGGCAAGGAGGGCAGGCCGCAGAGATACAGCCCCCAACCTTCTATCAGCAGGTAGCCGGAGTGCAGCCGTTGACACCAAATTAACAGAAGGCCAAGCCTCTAATGGACGTTGATGTCATCGCAGATTGCATAAGGAGGACATTTTCAAACAAAAGGTTTGAAAAGAAGCCTAGTGCCACTTTGAGTGTAGAAAATTCACCTCCATACGAAAAAGAAGCTGCAGGGGCAGAGACTCCAGATACTGTGGAGGCTCTAGTTGAAAAGGAGTCTTCGAAGGCAGAGGTTCCAGAAGCAATGGAAGCTCTAGAGCTTGTGGAGGCAAAGACTCCAAAGGCTGTGGAGACTCCAATTGAAAAGGAGTCTGCAGAGGCAGAGGTTCTAGAAGCCATAAAAGCTCCAAAGCTTGTGGAGACAGAGACTCCAGAGGCTGTGGAGGCTCCAGTCAAAAAGGAGTATGCGGAGGCAGAGGTTCAGAAGCCATGGAAACTCCAAAATTTTCGGAGGCAGAGGTTCCAGAAGCCATGGAAGCTCTAGAGCTTGTGGAGGCAGAGACTCCAGAGGCTGTGGAGGCTCCAGTCGAAAAGGAGTCTGCGGAGGCAGAGGTTCCAGAAGCCATGGAAGTTCCAAAATTTACTGAGGAAGAGACTCCAGGGACCGTGGAGACTCCTAACAAAAAGGAGGATGTAAGAGCAGAGGCTCCATATGAAAAGGACTCTGCTGGGACACAGGCTCCAGAGACCATGGAGGCTCCATACGAAAAGGAGGCTGTAGAGGAAGAGAATTCAGAGGCTATGGAGGTTCTATACGAAAAGAAGTCTGCAGGGGTAGAAGCCCTAACGACTTTAGACGAAAAGGACTTTGCGGAGGCAGAAGCTTTGGCCACAAAATTAGCATATGGAAAGACTTATTTGCGTCTGGCATTGATGCCAACCAAAGGGTTTATTCCTTTTGCTAATACTATGTTGGCTAAAGGGCTGATGAAAGACAGGCTTAGCATCCAGCCGTCAAAACCTTTGGTTCAAGATTGTTTAGGACCGAATGCATCCGCTAAAAAAACCGTCTTCACAAGAGTGACATTTGATAAAGTCTCAAGTTTGAACAAGGAGAAAGTAAGACAAAGGATGGTCAAGAGGGAGCTTAATGTCGGTGTCAGAATCCCAAGTCCGAAAGTCTCAAAATTAGAGAAGAGAAAAGTATACAAAGGACCCAAGCCGGAGGCCATCATAGCAAAAGTGAAAGTCACAAATGGGAAATATATTTGGACTGTTACCACGGCTGACCAGATCACCATCATTCCCAAGGCGACATGGAAGCCTTCTATCGCTAAAGAGAATGAAAAATAGATTATGAATGAGCCGAAGCTTTCAACTATGGGGGGCAATAAAGGGACTCACCAGAATTTAAAAGAGGCGAGCTCAAAGAAGAAAGTTGGAGGCTTGTATGGAAGAGGAAAGGTCGCATGTGCCGTCTTCAAAAGAAAAACATATGAAAGAGCCGCCTCCAAAAAGAAGCAAGCTATGTAGCCGCTTCCAGAAAGAAATCAGGCCATGGAGCCGCCAAAGAAGCAGGCTGTGGAGCTGCTTCCAGAAAGAAAACAGGCTGTGGAGCCGCTTTCAGAGAGAAAGCAGACCATGGAGCCGCCTCAAAAAAAGAAGCAGGCTATGGAGCCGCTTCCAGAAAGAAATCAGGCTGCAGAGCCGCTAAGGAAGCAGACTATGGAGCCGCCAAAGAAACTGGCTGTGGAGCTGCCTCCAAAAAAGAAGCAGGCTATAGTGCCGCTTCTAGAAAGAAAGCAAGTTGTAGAGCCGCTTCTAAAAAAGAAGCAGGCCATGAAGACGCCAACGAAACAGGTTGTGGAGCCACTTCCAGAAAGAAAGCAGGCCATGGAGCTGCCAAGGAAGCAGACCATGGAGCTGTCAAGGAAGCAGGCTGTGGAGCCGCTTTCAGAGAAAAAGCAGGCTGTGGAGCCGCTTTAAGAAAAGAAGCAGGCTATGGAGCCACTTCCAGAAGGAAAGCAAGTAATGGAGCTACCAATAAAGCAAGTTGTGAAGCCGCTTTCAAAGAGAAGGCAGGCTGTGGAGCGGCTTTCAGAAAGGAAGCAGGCTATGGAGTCACTTTTAGAGAAAAAAGAGGTTGTGGAGCCGCTTCAAGAAATAAAGTAGGTTGTGGAACCGCTAAGGAAGCAAGTTCTGGAGCCGCTTTCAGAAAGAAAACAGGTTGTAGAGCCACTTCCAGAAAGAAAGCAGACTGTGGAGCCACTAAGGAACTAGACTATGGAGTCTTTTCCTAAAAGGATACAAGTAAAGGAGCCTCTGGAAGAAGTTCAAGAGTTAGAGGAAGTTGTCGTTGATGAAGAGCCTATCTTCGAATGGAATGATGTGGCAACGATGATAGAATTTAATAGGCTCGGGCCTGACCAAAACCAGCATGTCAAGCCTTTGCACATTCGGGTCGATGATGAATGGCTATCCGCTTGACCAAATTCTGGTGGACAACGGAGCTTCTGTGAATGTGTTGCCAATTGAGACCCTACGGAAGTTCGGAAAGACTAGTGACGATTTGATTTCTACATTTGTACGGCTTACCGATTTTGTGTGAAATTCTTACAAATCGGCAGGTATGATCACTTTGAATGTGCAGGTGGAGACAAAGGAAATATCGTCAAATTTCATGGTGATTGATAGTAGGCCATTCTATTCGGCTCTCTTGGGACGGAATTGGATTCATGCATGAGAGTGTGTGCCTTCGACACTCCATCAAACGTTGACGTTTTTGGATGGAAATGAAGTCCAAGAAGTGATGGTCGAGGAGCATCCCTTGTCGACAAAAGTGACCACAGCTTATTCAAGTGAACGGCTCAAAGCAAAAGGACATGGGCTCAATGGAAGCAATCGTCCAGCCCTTTTGAGGAGGGCATTGTTGGACATGGGTCCAAAAACACCTGAACGTGAATGAGGCTCAAAGATAAAAGTGGAGCCAGAGCTCATTGGCCACGGAGCCACTCAACATCAATGGAGCTTCAAGCCTCGGAGGCAAAGACTGCTGCCTTCCCAGAGCCGAAGGCAATAGTTTCCATTGGATTGTGGTGCTTCAACAGAGCCGAAAGCAACAGCCTCCATGGACCTTAGGGCAACAACTCCTTGGACTATGGCGCCTCCATCCTGGAACAATGTTTCCATAAGGTCAGAAAGTGTTGTCTCCATTGGGTTGAAAACAACTACCTCAATTGGACTGCAGTGCTTCCACAAAGCAGAGGAAGGTTGCCTCCACAAGATAGAAAACAACAGCTTCCACAGATCATGGAATAACTACCTCCGTTGGCCCTGGGTTAATAATTTCGTATTTAACATTAGTGGAGGGCCTATGCACTTTCATACTTTATTCAAAAAGCTCTATGGAACAAGCCAACAAAAGGAAAACTGAAGATTCCATTAACTTGAGGCGGTTGGGGATACATCCTCATGTACCGGCTAGGAGTACGATGGAAACAAGTCGGAGTAAGCGGCAGATCTGGTCTAGAGGCAATGGAAGAAGTTCAGAGCAAGTGAAACCCGGTCCAGAGGCAATGGAAGCTGTTGGAAGCTGATGGAAGGATACCAGGTGGTTAGAAGCTGATGGAAGGATGTTACCAAGGAACTTATGGAAGAAGGTTACCAGACAGTTGGAGGTAGTGGAAGGAGGTTGAGGTAGTGGAAGGAGGCTACCAGGCAGTTTGAGGTAGTAGTGGGAGGTTACCAGGCGGTTGAGAGTAGTGAAGGAATAAGTGGAAATGCCCCTTTTAGTGGGAAGAGACGGTTATTCTATCTTAGGATTAAAACTAGGTAAAAATACATCACACACGCACAAGAATGGAATTGTATTTTTCTCTATTTTCTTTACATGTTTAAGTTTCGTTTTATGCATTTTAATTCGAATTACATGTTTTTTATCCGCTTTCTAGTATATTTATCCGAGTTTTAGTAGATGTTAGTTTAAATCCATCGAAATCGATCGTTTAGGCTCGAAGCTGTGCAGGCTGCACCGAAGGAGGCGCCCAAAATTCGACGATGGACAGGCTCTTTGGAGTACTTCCGGAACTCACACCGACAAATCGACGAACTATTTTGGAACCTCCGAATTTTAGGATCCAGCATAATAGTAAAATTTTTGAATTGAAATAGTTGTATGATGTGATATAAATAGGTGTTATGTGATGTTTTGAATGTAAAATTAATTTTTAGTATAATATAAAAATAAAAAATAAGTGTTTAATTCGATATTTTTTTAAAGAAAAATTTTGATAAATAGTATAAATTTAGGAAAGTCTCCCAAACAAACACACTCTATAAATTAAATGTATAATTTAACTGAAAAGAATGCGTTTGTTTTGCGATGGCTTAAAAACATCATATTATTATGTAACAAATATAAAAATAATAAATTTATGTAATATATTAAATCTTATAAAATATATATATATATATAAGATTTTTTTACTAAATAACACACCTTAATATTACTAGAAAACAAACATTTCATCCATTTCAATTCAAAAATATTATTTATTCTTTTTTTAAGTATATTAAAAAATAAAATTATTATACTAATTAGTGTAAGTATATAAAATGACTTAGATACTTTTACCATTATAAAGTCTAAATAAAACAATAGTAATATTTTTGCAATTTGTATAAAAAGTAAAGATACTTTAATATTTGTATATAAATTATTTTTATTATATATTATGAAATAAATATTTTTCAGTAAAACAATCAAAATAATAAAAAGAATATTTTGAATTGAAAAAATATATATATATAGAAAAACCATGCTTTTTGAATTTAATTTAATAATATTTACTAAAAATAAATAATTGTATATTAAAATCAAATCATAAAAATGATCTAATACTCCTTACGCCTTGCATTAAGCTTATACCTTAAATCAGGGACAAATAGAGTAACAAAAACAGCGAAGGAGATTAAACTCAAATATAACAGTGGCGCAGATTCGAATTTAGCTGCGCTGTTGTGTAGGTTTGAAACCAAAACAATTTGATAGAAATCTTTAATTTAATTGAAAAACTTAATAATAAGTCTTATAATCTTTCATTCAGGATATTGCACAAATACCTATTTTACTACTCCATACACTAAAATTCAAACACAAACCTCAACCTTAACAAACACTAGTCAAGAAAATATGCATTGCACACTGACACTCGTGCAGAATAAAAACTGTGCGAGGAAAAACTTAACAGAGAACTTAAAAAAGGATTAAACATCTGCAAATTTATAGGCAAAAGTCCCAACAGAGTTTGAAAAAGCTCAAAATTTAATTTTAAGGCTTAACACCAAACAGATCCATGTAATTTGCGCAACAAAAATTTCAGTTTGAAGATGGTGTTCTTCAGTACTTGATGGGAGCAATGATGTCGAGCTGTTCCCCAAGCTTCTCCTCAGCAACCTTTTCGGCTTTCACTCTCAATTTCGTCAATTGCTTTCTCTTCTCATACGTCGCCTGAGCCCTTTCTTTTCTCTTCTTCTCCAGCTCCTAAGAACAGCGAATATCATCATAATTAAAATAAAAGCAAAGAACAACCTGATTCTTAAGACACCTATAAAACTTTTCATCAAGGGCATGCAAGAAACATTTGTGAAGATGCAAAAATGAATTTCCTCTATACGAGTTAGTATAGTAGCTGAAACTTTACAGTCAGGAGCTCAAGCATTGGTATGAAGTATAGTAGCTTGGGCACCGGGCAATCTTTGTGAACGGTATAGAAATGTTAAAACAAATGTCATACAGCAACAATACGTACCAAAATTTGTTTCAATTTACACGATCGGAAAAAAATAAATAAATAAAATTTTGAACTTACTCTGATAGTGTCATAATGGTTCCATCCAACTTCAGATGAGAGCCTACCCAACAAACAATATTTATGGCCAGCTTGAAGTCTCAATACCCTATTTGTAACATTGTAAAAAACCAAATACATTGTCAAGGATTTAAAAAGCTAGCAATGATACCATTTTTTTAATGAAAAGGTCAACAATAGAATGAAGAGTCATACTTGAGAGCATCAGGGATAACCATCCTCTTAATCTTGTCGTATGGTGGTGGGATACCCTCATACACCTTCAGTCGTGCCAGCGCAGCTTCTCCTCGCTTGGTCTTGTGCGGTATCATACTATCACATTTAAAAAAATTAGTTGAAGAGAGCATTTAATTAACCCAAATGTTAGTCATAAAATTGTAATTAATTAACTTAATAATTTCATCCCACACACAGAAGTATCAGGTCTATAAAATGAACTGAACATGGAAATTATGCAACAGATCAAGAACCAAGCACCAGATGGCATTCAACTCTTCGGAAGGGAGAATGCAATTTGAAAAGCAACTAGCATTTTCCACATTTAGGATATTACAAGGAAATAAAGAGATGCACTATATAGCAACCAGCATTTGATCCGTTAGAGCAGAAACAAACCACAAGGCTAACTCATAGACGCAATCACAACTTCAGAAGGTTAATTCTCCCAATTATAAAACCAAATATAACAATGAATTTCACAGTACCATAGGACAACCCAGCAAAATTAAATGCATGTTATAAATAAAAGATCAGTTGAATATAGTTCATGCTGAATCACATCAGATATTTACGGATTAACTTAGGAAAAACGACTATTATGTGCACAAAAAACCTCTATACATACTATCGACCATATAAAATCGGGCAATTCTCATTAACGAACCTTTGAACCATACAAATAATGAATAAATAAATAAAACGGAAGAGAAAACCACGAGCATACAGAAACCGATAAGGCCAAAAGAGAACACAGAAGAATCCGTACCCCCGAATGGTTCTCCACAGAATTTTGGAAGGCGCGCGGAAGTGAATCGGCCCATGAGAGGGCTTCGTGTTCATCCTCTTGCGGAGGAACCTCAAATACTTCATCTTCTGGCGCACCAATCCGCCCGACAGACAGATCTCCTCGCATCGGACGACCACCACTTTCTGACCATTCAAAAGCTCCTTTGCCAGAATGGATGCCAGGCGGCCGAGCATGTGGTGCCTGGCGTCCACTACCACTCTCTTCGCGCAGATCCCCGAACCCGACACCATGTCTCCGTCCCTCCCTCACTCTCTCTCGTCGAAGCAAATTGGAGGCAGCCGTTTCGAATTAGGGTTTCTGTGACTATATTTATACCATTACCGAGTCGCCATAGGGTTTTTAGTCTTGATATCTATTTTGGGCTGAAGCCCAAAACATACGGACTTAAGAGACAATTTATTGATATTATAGTAGTATAAATTTATAAAATTAAATAATTATATTTTGTATTTGTATTTTTTATAAATAAAAAGTAAAAATAATTAATTATAATATGTTTAATTGGCTTCATTATTACCTCTTTCGCTGTTTTTCAATATATACAATCCCGGACAATTTATGTAATAAATATTGCTTTACTATATTAAATAATAAATAAATAAATCTTGATTAGGGGTATCAATATTGAACCACTTTAAAAAGTCAATCCGTTTGACCAAATTAATTTTAATTTCGAACTTAAGTGTTCGGGGTTTTGAAAAATTCAAATCAATAAAAAAAAAAAAGGTTAGATCATATCGGATTTTAGATTGATTTAATAACCCCAAATATAAAAATTAAATCATCCGACAATTCAAAACTCAACCCCGACCTAATTTCACCTAAATTTAATAATTAAAATTATAATTTTATTTATTTCAAATTATAATATATTAGTATAAAACAAAATAATATATTATTTAAAATTTTAGTATTGGTTTAGTTTAATCGCGACCCTTAATATTGACAGTTGGCCTACTCCTTAGCCTAATTCAATGGGCTCGATCCAAATCTTTTAGTCTAAATCCAAACTTCAAAATCAAATCAATTTTATCTTAAATCCAAACTCATTAGTTTGTTAGGTGTTTGTAATTGTTTGGGAAAGTTTTTACATAGAGTTAAATAGCCCCATGCCGCACACGGGGTTTCCCCATTATGGAGAAACCCCGCGTCAGTTTTTATTATTAAAAAAAAAATCAGAAAAATAATATATAAAATTACAGTTTGGAACAGCGTTGCTCTACCCAGCACTTAGAGCAAACGCGGTAAGTTTATTTTGGATGGCATCACCACCTGTCTTGAGGCAGTTTTTGCAAAAGTAAAAAATTAAATTACACATTAGAGATTAAACCCACGCTGTTTTGAACCGGCTTCCTCTACCCGGCTTAGTGCAGTAGATGTCATATCTGGGGTGTACTTTTTCTCTTTCTTCCTTTCTCCCCCAAAATCTTCCCGCAAAAAACGACTTCTGAAAGAACAAGTTTGTGTCTTTTTCTTCGTAGTGGCCAACTTCCGGTGTCTTCGCCGCAATCATCGCAGTCGGATCAATGTTGGGACAGAAATCGTCTTCGTCATAGGTCCGCTCATCGTCATTCGGTATGTTCTTTAACACAACAACAAGGGTTTATGGTAATCGTTGAAATCAGTGTATATCCAAATCTTGAAACATTTACCAAGTTCAGAACATTTATTCTAAGATAACATTTGTCAATTTCAGAAATATCATTTCTAGGGCAGAAGTTGATTTCGTTTAGAATCTTTTCCTAAATCTTCTTTGGAAAATTCTATTTGCACCAAATATTTGAATCTCTTTATACCTAACTAGGAAAATTCTATTTGTACCAGGCATACCAATCTCTCTAAACCCAACCAGGAGAACTTTTAGGCAGAAATTCCGATGGGCACTTCTTGTTGCCCATATTTTTATTTTTTGAATGTCATTACACCGCAACTATTTTTTACATTTGTCATTTTGTTAATTTCTGTTGTACATATTTTTTGTGGCGATTTGATCCTGAGTATTGTGTCGTATGCTCAAACTTTTATGCTGCTACAATATTATTTTTAAGGAATTGGTCGAATGAGCTTGCCGATGAATGAAATCGTTTGGGGGTTACGTATATTGACGGTTTGGGATATAAAATTGCAGATTCTCTAATGTAATTAGGTTGGGATAAATCAGTTGCTACTAATTATGGGATATATAATCTATGTTTGTTGCTAATCTTTCAAATTTGAGACTATAGTTCTATCTTGTTCAATATTTATAAGGTATTTAACAATTCATAAATATTTGTTGTTGGTTTGATGAATTTTGGGTACATGATAGCTACATCTCCTAACCTTAGTTTGTTTGGATGTATTTCTCAATTTTCAACTTTAGTGCTCCTTTTAAATGCCGCAATCGAAATTATTTATAATTGTGTAATCAAGTTTTCCTACATATTGTGCTTGATATTTGTGTCTTTTTACGTGCATTATTGGATGTAGAGAATTTGAAATTAAATTAATTTATTTCTTCTTTAGGTCTGAGCAATGGCGGATGAAGACGGAAGCCATAGAGATGACGAGGTATACGAGATAAATGATCTATCCCAATCAAATACCAAATCTTCTCAAATACCTCCCAATACATCCGCCTTCACACAGATTAGTCCCAATATAAGCCAACCAGCATATGTCGTCCCAAATCATTTCAATATGAGTTTCGGCCGTCCTTTTTTCACCAATACAGTACTACCCCAAAACCAATTGAATTTCATGTCGCATGGTGCTTCATCTCAGCCTCCATATCCCGAAACTCAATTATCACAAGATGTTGCATTACCATTTAGTCCACTCTGTCCACCGATTCACAATCAAAGTCCTTCGTAAATCAATAATCTTGGTAGGTCGCTGGAGACCAACCAACGCGCAAACAAAAATTGGGACATATATGAGGATTTGGAGTTGACCAGAGTATGGTGCAACATGACAACTGATGCTTATGTTGGTGTCGGCCAAAAGAAACTGAGAATGTGGGAGCGTGTATGGGAGACTTTCGGTGTTTTAATGGAAGAAAAACATGGAGTGAGCAGACTTGAAAATAAATGACTCCTGAAGGATGTGAGAACCGGTGGACGGACATCCGATCACAATGTACTAAATGGACTACTATACGTGTCCAAGCACAACCACAATGTCGTAGTGGTTGGAGCCCAACAGACTTCGTAAGTCACTCTTCTATCTTTATTGTAGTTTTTACTTTTTAGCTTCGTTTGAATTCTTTATATTAATATTAATTGTGTCATAGGAGAGTTATTGTCATCATACATTTCTGGAAAAACACAAGAAAGACTTCAAGTTTGAGTCATGTTGGCATATTGTAAAAGATCAGCCCAAATGGTTGGAATTTGCTATCAAAAAGAAAGACAACAAGAGTGATCGATGTTCTGAGGTTGAAAAGGAACATCTGGAGGAAACACCTGGAAGTGGTAATGTTGATGAACCCTTCCCGAAGACGTCTGTTGATTCAAGTACTGTTGGATTACAAACGGGTCAAGATGCAAACGCAAGGGCTCCATCTTTGTCAGATTTAGGTGGCCCTGCTGTGATTGATTTAGAACGTCCAATTGGTGTCAAACGGGCCAAGACGGGTAACAAAAAAAACAATCAGAAGAAGCGTAGATTACAAAGGCTTGAAGACTCACAGGCTTCAGTGGCTAAAAATATCACTGCTGGTCTAATGACTATGGACTCCACAAGCCGTGAAAGGTGGTCTGCATTTGAGGCTTTTGAAAGCAAAAAAGAAGAAAAGAATGATAGACGCTATGAACGCTTGTTGATAAGAGCTGAGGAAGAGGTAATTCATTTATTTTTGTCCATGGCTATTATTATCGTTAACTTTTACCGACAGCCCATCTGAATCTAATGTGCAATATTCTTGTGTTAATATTAGCATAAAATGAAAATGGCTCGAGAAGCTGGTTTATTGACCAAAGAGCTTGAGGATATCGGCGAAAAAGTGATCGTTGCGTGGGAAAACCTTAAAGAGTTGGATCCTAATAATTTGTTGACAGAGGTCGATGTAAGACGTTACACAATAAGAAAACAGCTGGTGCGGAATTATGAAGTCACTTTTGAAAGTGCGTACGAAAGTGTGCAATTTTTCTTTATATGTTATATGTGGCTAATAACTATTATATTTTTTCAGCGATGCTTGAAACCTTGAATTCTAGTCGAGCGGCGGATTCGAATCACAGTGGAAATTGGGCCAAAAGTCATGCAAGGTGAAAGTAGAAAACGTCTGTTCAATGACGATAACACTGTGGAAGGTATTTAATAACACAACAGTTAGTTTGTCGAAACCGTGACCGGGGGAACTATGTTGATGTTTTCCGTTTGTTTATAATATTGGGGGTTAGCTTTTGTTTTTGAAATGTGCATATCGGATGTGGGTGTTCTTTTGTGGATAATTGTGTAGAAGTTTTAACTATTTGCATGTAGGTTTGTTATGTTTTGGGATAACATTGTAGCAAAACCAAATATATTTTTTGCTAGGTCATCGAGCAGTAGATCAAAGATACTTTGCTGCATGTGCTTTTGTTTATTTAAAAGTTACAATGGCTTTATTTATTTATTAGTTACAATGACAGTCGATCAAAAATAGTTTGCTGCATATCCCGTTATTTATTTAATATTTACAATGGATTTATTTATATTATAGTTACAATGAAAGTCATTATGTTTATTTAAATTATATGGAGTGGTCAATGATGATATATGATTTCAATTGTATGGGTTTGTTTATTTAATAGTCAATGTTGTGTCGGGTTTAGGATTTTGGTTCAAAATAAAGCTTTAGTCAGGTTCGAATTGATAATTTTTTTGTTAAACCCACAACTCAATTCGATATGAATATAATCCGAAAACATGAATTGACACCACTGAATTATTGATATATATAGCATTAGATTTCAAATATTTTAAATTCTTGAATTATTGACTTTTATAAACCACTGGAGTCCAAATATATGAAATCCGTAAAATATTGTATCATAAATAGCATGTATGAATTATACAATAGCAACTTTCCTTTTCATCTAATATTGAAAAATTCATAATATTTATCGCATTTTACTAAAAAGTTATTGTAGACCTCTTGTGCTGGTTTATGATTGTTGACGATCATAACATGATTTGAATTATCTTGATACTAGCCTAAATTCGTGCGTGTGCCGGCAGCATCAACGAAAAAAAAAGAATATTGTAATTTTAATCTTGCATATGAATTTATATCTTTGTTTTAGATTAATAGTCCATTCATATCAAATCAATTTATTTATTTTTCCGTATTAATTTATTCAAAATTAATTTATGCATTTTTTAGTAATTAAACTATTTATAACTTAATGTCGCTATTAATATTTAGCTAATTTACAATTCATATTTTTTTTGAACGGTACATTTATAAAATATTAATACAAATTTTTTAATATAAATAACAAACGAGTAAACATATCTCGACCATAGTGAATATTGTTGTAATATTAACATAGGATTAGCCAATAGAAATATTAATTATCTCTATCGCTAACCACTATTTTATATATTATATATATAAATATAATACAATATAAATATATTATATGTACGTGTGAAGCTTGTATTTTATATATTGTATATATATAAATATAATATAATATAAATATATTATATGTACGTGTGAGGCTTGTATGCTATGTGTGATAATATATGATATATATGTCTATTATTTATTAATATATATTTATGTATATGTATGTATAGTATATTTGTATATAGCAATGTAAATAGACAGAAGAAGGCAGAGACAGACGAGAGAGAATGACTGAGGGAGTTAATTAATGTGTGTCCTTTTCATTCCAAATATATATACATATATATATAGGCAACTTCTACCAATGGTAAATGTCCACATCTATGAATAATAGACATCCATATTGATGAATACACTATGCCTATAAGATGCTACGCGTATGCAACGTAGGATATATGTATACAACACTCCCCCTTGAATGTTTTTACATACGAAGAATGTGTCTCGTTAAAACCTTACTAGGAAAAAAAATCTAGTGGGACAAAAAAATCCTAGTGAAGGAAAAAGATTACAACATTCTTGTATCAATTCGCTCCCCCTGATCTGAATATTATTTGAGATCCCTTGACCGACGCATCCCAATTTTCTTCACGAGTTTTTCAAATATTGCACTCGGTAATGCCTTGGTTAATATATCCACCAAATTATTATCTGATCGAATTTGCTGCACCTTAATTTCACTGTTCTGTTGTAGATCATAAGTGAAAAAGAATTTTGGTGAAATATGTTTTGTTTTATCTCCTTTAATGTAACCCCATTTCAATTGAGCTACATAGACTGTATTATCTTCATGCAATGTAGTCGGGGGATTTTATTGTCGGATATTAACCCGCAATTTTTCAGTATATGTTGAGTTATTGACCTCAACCAAACACATTCTCGACTAGCTTCATATATTGCCAATATTTCAGCATGATTTGAAGAAGTGACAGTTAAAGTTTGTTTAATTGATCTTCAAGAGATCACTGTTTCGCCACAAGTGAATATATAGCCAGTTTGTGACTTGGCTTTATGAGGATTAGATAAATATCCTGCATCGGCAAAATCAATTAATTCATGTCGAGAATCTTTTGAGTAAAATAATCCGAGATCAATTGTTCCTTGGAGATAGCGAAATGCGTGCTTAATCTCATTCCAATGTCGTCGAGTAGACGATAAGCTGAATCTTGCCAATAAATTTACAGCAAATAATATGTCAGGTCGGGTGCTATTAGCAAGATACATCAATGTGCCTATAGCACTCATATATGGCACTTCAGGGCCAAGTGTTTCTTCGTTTTCCTCTTTTAGTCTAAAAGGATCCTTTACTGGATCGAGTGCTCTGACGATCATTGGGGTACTTAGCGGATGTGATTTATCTATCAGGAATTGTTTCAGTACTCTTTTGGTATAATTTGATTGGTGGATGAAGATTCCACTTTCCAACTACTCAATTTGTAAACCAAGGCAAAATTTAGTTTTTTTCAAAATCTTTGATCTCAAACTCTTTTTTCAGATATTCAACACCTTTCTGAATCTCATCAGGAGTTCCAATCAAATTGAGATCATCGACATATACCGCGATAATTACAAATTCAGACCCGTTTTTCTTTATGAAAACACATGGACATATAGGGTCATTTATGTAACCTTATTTTGTTAAGCTTTCGCTGAGACGATTGTACCACATTCGGCTTGATTGCTTGGGCCCATACAAAGATTTTTGCAATTTGATGGAATATGATTCTTTTGGCTTTGATTTGAATGATTCAGGTATGTTTATCCCTTCTGAGATTTTCTTATAGACATCATTGTCTAAAAAGCCGTAAAGATAGGCAGTAACCACATCCATTAATCGCATATCAAGATTATAGTGTACTGCTAGGCTCACCAGATACCTAAATATTATTCCATCCATGACCGGCAAATATGTTTATTTAAAATCAATGCCCGGTCTCTAGGAAAAACCCTGGGCTACAAGCCTTGCCTTATCTCAAGCATCATGAAGTTGTTTAATGAAAAAAAAAAAAAAACAACAACTCAATCATACGTTAATTGTACAAGAGTAGTGATAGGTAGTTGCCTAGCCCTTTCAATATCCCATTGATGCATTCAGACAAATTGACTGTTAATATACCATGTCGCTACCCTTCATCGTAGGCAAGTGTCCATTTACTCTTCTAAATTTTCATAAGCCAATCATAAGATGCCGGCTTCAAAAGCTGGATTGCTGTTAATGTTCCGTTAAACTCTATTGGATCAATGGATGCTCTTACCCTCCAATACATATCTTTCAATCTTACATCTTTAATTCTTTGGTTGAAGTTAAAACATATATGCCGAAGGAAAAATCGATGTTGACCACAAGGTGCGTGAAATGCAGGAATACGATCAACTGCATTTGTGATTCCAACATGTCTATCTGAAATTAGACATGTATGATATCCATCCTGCATAATATACATGCATACACAATAATCAAATAAATATCATTACTAGAATTTTCAAAGTATATATAATTTACAACTTAATAAATTATATTACCTGCTTACTAGCTGGAGAAACCACATCCAAGATTCAGTACTCTCTGTATCAACAATGACAAAAGCTAATGGCAACACATGATGGTTGACATCTATAGTAGCAACAATCAACATAACATGCTTGTATTTTGCATATAAATGAGTCTCATCTACAATAATCACATTCCAACAATGACAGTATGTCTCAATACAAGGTCCGAATCCCCAAAACACATATCCTAATGAGTATTTTTCTTGATTTGCTGCTTCTACATGAGCCCACTCAACAATTATATTGGGTATGTACTTTTGAAGTGTCTTTATATAAGCTGGAAGTTTTTGTACCGAACTCTCTCATGTCCCGTAAACATGCTAAATTGCACGTTTTAATCCATATCCTGCCTTTGAATAAGATATATCAAAACTATATTCTATTTTCATTGATCTTTTCACATTCGCTAGCTCATATGCCGTATTTCTACTAAAAAATCCCTTCAACAAATCCGCTATCATGTTAACATCCAAGTTGCTATGCTCCAACGACGCATCATCCGAAATACACGTGTGATCAGGCAGCATCGTAATAAGTTGCCAACTGCATTTGCTTTTTATCACTAAATGTCATCCTAAAAATCAGAAAAACATTATATTTTTTGTACACATTCCAGTTGCATCTAGGAGTATCGTATGTACCTTGTAGAAACTCCTCCCGAGGCAAATTCTAAAAAAGTTGAGTCGAGGGATGTTCTATCTTACCCCCTGAAAGTGGTATGGTATGTGTTTCATGACATCTCGATGACCCTAGATTTGGACATTATGCAACACCACAATTTTCTTGGTCATCATTTTTTTCTAGTGCTATTTTATCGTCTAATTTTGACAGTGATTCTGGTTCACTATATTCATCTTGACCAATTCATTCACAATAAAAGCCCGAGCTATTTAATCTACACTAGGAGTATCAACAATTGCATTTTCAGAATTTCTTTGGAATTAAAAAAATAATTCTAAACACTTGCAATTGTTGGTTGAATTTAAGAAATGCTCGAGATTAACCGCAGTGATGGTAATTAACCTCAATTTCTGAATACCCCCTCTTTGCGTCTACATTTATGACATTTTCAAATAATAGAATACTGGCGTCAATCTTTTCCGGTCACATAAAAAATAATACCTTCGAAATCTTCAAGTGTACTATTACGTCCAATAAAAGTCATATATTTAGGATCACAGTCATATTCTATTATACTAGAATTGCGAATAATATCCCCATCCCAATTTAATAAAATATCAATATTGCTATTAACACCGGACATCTGTTCAAAAAATAATAATAAAAACATATTAATGCTACACTCATAAACAAACACATAAAATTATTTAAAAATAAGAAAAAATTATAAATTTCATATCAAAATTATCAATATCAAAATAAATGAACAAGAAATAATAAAATACAAATATAAATATATCATATATATTATATATATTATTGTATAAATATATAGAAGATTTTCTAACATTTTACAAAACGAACAAAATATTCTAAATCTTCCAAAATTTTTATAATACTTAAAATTTGCATGAATAAGTATATACATATCAAGAAGATAAAAATAAATAAATAAATTACCGAGCAGGATAAAGTCGTCGAGAGATAATGCGTGTGAACTTTTGTGGTATGATAAATAAATGGAAAGAATGAATTTATTAGTGTAACAAATAAAAAAGTTTCCAAAGCTCCTTAAACTTGATATCCAAGAGAACTCTTTGGAGTGTTATTAAATTCAAGGTGGTGTAGACCATAACTGTACCAAAATGAAATTCTCATAACTCTTTAAATTATCAAATTAAATAATTTTTAAAACTATTTTAAACTCTACTTTTAAAAAAATATTTTTGACTCAAGGACATTATTTTAAAAAACTTCGTAGTTTAATTCACTAGTTCATTGGGGGATCGTAAGTCCCATGGACTTCTTCACATAAAATATACATGCACAGTGTATATTAGAGGGCTGGGCAGCCAGGCCTACTCATAAATCCAATTCAAAACAGACCCCGCAGCAAGGCCCAATAATTTAAATTTAAATTTAATTAAAACCCACTCACCCCTGATCTCCCATCATCTTCGCCCGTATGTTCTTCTTTCATTACTACTTTCTTTCTTCTTGAGCAGGCTTCGCGCGAAAATTGTGTGAGTTATTTAACTGATTCAACTGTTGACAAGGGATCGTAATTTTCCTATTGTGGTGGTGTGGCGAGTTGGCGAAGCATGATTGACATTAAACAAATTACGCCGTCTGTTCAGACAACGCCAAGTGCAACGGTAACCAAAGATGATTCTCACTAACCGGCGACTCAATTCCTCACTAGGATCTGGATTCTGATGCTAACCCGTCGATTAAGACGCGAATTACTCCTACAAAGGTCGAAGCATTCGAGGAATTTTGGCTCATTCCACAATGGACACCACATGTTCGATGAAATTCCTGACCCACCGCTGGTCTCCGTTCATCGCACGATGCTCAATCTCATACGGCAGCATCGCCAGGGCGAAGCGCTTGGATTTTTCAAGAAACATCTTCGAGCGGGTCTTTCTGGAATCGACGAAGTTGCGGTTGTTATTGCTTCCAAGGCTAGCATCGGGCACCCCAAGATTGGGTCTCAAATCCATGGCTTTGCCCTAGTCTCTGGCTCTATGCATTATGTTTCAGTCTGCAATTCGTTGATGAACATGTACTGCAAGTCGCGGGATTTAATGAGCGGTCTACGCTTGTTCGAGAGCTTGAAAGATCCCGACACTATATCTTATAATACAGTGCTGTCAGGATTCGAAGAAAGCAAGAGTGCTCTTTATTTTGCTAGCGGTATGCATTTGAAAGGCAAGAAGTTTGATGCCGTGACGTGTACTTGCGTGCTCGCGCATTGTGCGGATGCTCAAGAAATTGGTCTCGGACGGCAATTTCATTGCCTTGTGTTTAAGTTTGGTTTGGAGGCCGAGGTATTCATCGGGAATGCTTTGGTGACGTTGTATTCGAAAGGTGGGAAAATTGCTGATTCCGGCAGAGTGTTCGGCGAAATGATTTTTAAGGATTCGGTTTCTTGGAATGCACTTCTCTCGGGATATGCTCAAGATGGTTTTTACGGATGCGAAGCTGTTATGAGGTTTGTTGAGATGGTGAAGTGCGGCGTGAAGCTTGATCATGTCGCGTTCACGAGCATAATTTCAGTTTGTGGTCAGGACAGGGATTTGAAGTTTGGAAAGCAGGCACATGCTCTGTCGATTAAATGTGGTTACGGAGCTCATGTTTCCGTGTGTAATGTATTAATGTCAATGTATTCCAAGTGCGATATGGTTGGAGATTCAAAATTGGTCTTCAAGAATATGGCCGATCGGAATGTGGTTTCTTGGACGACAATGCTCTCCATAGACGAAGAGAATGCAATGAATTTGTTTAAGGAAATGGTACGACAAAGCGTATACCCAAACGATGTTACGTTTGTTGGATTGATTCATGGCTTGACAAATCACGATAAGATGTGCGAGGGTTTATTGGTCCATGGCTTTTGTGTTAAATCGAACATTCTTTCTGAAACCAACGTGGCGAACAGTTTCATTACTATGTATGGGAAGTTTAGTCTCGCGGAAGACAGTCTTAAAATTTTTATGGAGATCGGCGACAAAGAGATTATATCGTGGAATGCTTTGATATCGGCTTACTCGTTAAATGGTATGTACCAAGAAGCTCTACATGTGTTCTGGTCAGCTTCGCAAGATTTAGTGCCCGACGCTTACACATTTGGCAGCGTCCTGCACGCAATCGCCATGTCTGAATCGATCTCCCTCACACAGGGTCGAAGATGTCATGGCAATTTAAGAAAACTCGGATTGGATACCGATCCAGTTGTCTCGGGCGCACTTCTTGATATGTATGCGAAGCGGGGGTGCATTCGTGAATCTGAGAAGGTTTTCGATGAACTGGACGAGAAAAACCTGGTTTCTTGGACAGCTATAATATCGGCTCATTCGAAGCACGGGGACTACGAATCGGTCATGAAATATTTCGAAAAGATGCTCACTGAAGGTGTGAGGCCAGACGCGGTCACGTTCCTGTCTGTGCTGACATCGTGCGGTCACAATGGAATGGTCGACGCAGGAATCGAAGTTTTCAATTTGATGGTTAGGGAGCATTCGGTCGAGCCATTTCCCGAACATTATTCTTGCATTGTAGACATGTTGGGGCGGGCCGGGAGGCTGGACGAGGCGGAAGAGATTCTGAGGCGGATCGATATCCCGGGAAGGCCTGGGATATCTGTGCTGCAGAGCCTGCTCGGGGCGTGCAGAATTCATGGGAACGTCGATATGGCGATCCGGGTGTCGGATGCTTTGCTCGCCATGGAGCCTACCGAATCCGGGTCGTATGTTTTGATGGCTAACTTGTTCGCAGAGAAGGGGAAGTGGGAGAACGCGGCGAAGATGAGACGATTGATGCGCGACAGAAAAGTCGCTAAGGAAATAGGATTTAGCTGGGCGGATATCGGCGATGTGTTCTTACATGGATTTTCGTCGGGCGACAAGACGCATCGGCGATGGGAGGAGATCTACGGAATGGCTGAGCTGCTGCTGCTGGGATCTGAAATGAAGAAGCAAGAAGACGACGACGATGATAACGGTAACAATTTTCATTCAAATTTGGGTTGATAGTTCCATTTCGATTTATTTATATTCATGGTTCCTCCTCGTGGTTGTGGTTGTCGTCGTCGTCTTCTTTTTCTTGTTGGTACAGAGTGTTTGTAGCTCCTCGGCTACTCGGCTCGCCTCTCCCTCGGCGTTCTCCCTCATTTCCTTGCTCACTCGTATAGCTCTATTCCTCAAATCCTCGCAAAACGGTGTCTCGGCCATCACCATACTTATTGTCTTGGCCATCTCTTCGCCTGTGTATCTTCCATCTCGACTCTTCCCGACCTCCACTCCAACGCCCACCTCCGTTGCCAACCTAGCATTAGCCGGTTGCTCGGATTTCATCGGCATGGCTATTATTGGAACGCCAAAATACATGCTTTCCATCACTGAACTCCATCCGCAGTGGCTCATGAAACTGCCGATGCTCCGGTGGGCCAAAATCTTCGTCTGCGGTGCCCATCCTCGAACTATCATTCCTCTCTCGACTACCCGATCAAGAAACCCTTTCGGCATTGCTTCTTCAATCCTTCCCGTCTTCTCTTCCGAAGGAAATCTCACGACCCACAAGAAGTTCGCGTCGCAAAGTTCTAACCCTTTTGCGATCTCTCCTAGCTCATCCCCCGACAAAAAGTACTCGCTCCCAAAAGAAACGTAGACGGTCGAGCGCTTGCTTTTTCCGCTTAGCCATTCCATGATCTTCGCGAGCATCTCCTCGTCATCGTATGGGTACGCTTCGTTGGCATCTGCAATAAGCGGACCGGTGATCACAACCCGTTTCTTGCATATATCGGAGAGGTAATCGATGTACTTTCGCTCGACAGCCCGGCAGCTTTTCATCAATATGACGTCCCGGGACAAGGCGAAGTTCCCGAACAAGAACTCATTATCCTCAGCATCTTTTATGCTCTTACGAAACCCGAAGTCGATCATCTCATAATCCTGTAAATGTATTGCCGGATAAGGGAACGTCGAGCTCGTCCCCTCCATGTACATATGGTAATAAAAAGCATACGATGCTGCGCCCGAAGCTGCAAAGAAGGCCGAATCTATGCCTCTAGAGAGCGCGATCTTTGGTGCCCACGGTTGGAAGAAGTCGTATATTAGAAAATCGGGCTTAAGGGAGTCGAGAATGTCCTGGAAGCTGCAGCTCGATTCTTGGAAGGCCTTCAAGAGGTTCGGCCAAAGACGGGGAGGCAAAGCTTTGGTGGTGTGGAACTGTGGGGGGAGCTCCGGCGATGCTGCCATGGGAAGCTCGACTAGTTGTATCGTCGGGTACTCGTTTCGGATGTGTTTTCGGATGGAAACGAGGTTGATGGCTGTCGAACAAAAGTAGACATGAAAGCAGCTTCGTCTTGAGAGATGCTTGGAAAGTTCAATGAAAGGAAATATGTGTCCATGAGCTAACCATGGAAACATTAGGATTCTAAACTTGCACTCTTCTACTTCTCCTTCTTCTTCCATGGCTAAGCTAAGTTCACTTCTTAATTCTCAAGACTTGTTAAAGAAAAGTTATGCAAGTGTTTGTATACAGTGTGTGTTCTTTTTACTTTTCAATTTTTTTTATTTTTTTATTTTTTTTTTGTTGTCTGATAGAATAATTGTTGATTTTAAATATGGTTTTAATAGAAATGATGAAATTGAATAATCATAAAATTGAGAAAAAGAATTATAATTAAAATAATGAAGTCCACTTCTCTTCTCTATTATTATTATTATTATTATTTTTTCTACTATTATTAACTAAGAAAGAATTATAATATTATATAGTTATTAATATAGGATAACCTCTATCATGCCTACAGGATAACCTTTGCCATTTGCATAGTTTGGCTAGTATGATTATTCTAATTAATTTTCGACGTCAAAGAGTAAAAATTAAATTATATAGCATTATTCTATACTTACTTGAAACCATACTTCAAGTGAGCATTTTGGGGGAGTTTTACTTTTATTTTTTATTTTTTATTTTAGTAATGAATGGTGAGAATTATATAAAACGAGACACATATAATGAAATAGTAATGAAAATAAAACGACACATATATAATAAAAAAAATATAAACTTTGAAAACCTTAAAGTAATTTGTTTTCACTGTCTTTTCTTTAATATGTAAGTAAAAGAGAATTATTATACTTTTATAATTATTTAATAATTTTATTAAAATAATAATATTATATTTAATATAAATAGATTAATAGCCGACATTATAAATAAAAAATTACATATAAAATTTAATAAAAGCACAACTGATATATTTATCTATAATATATATATATTTGACAAAAGGATTTAATTTCCAAAACCACCATTTTTTGGAATTATTTTATATTTTAATATTAGATTTTGGATAATTAGTAGAATTATTAATTATTAATTTTTATTTTTTGGAATAAAATTAAAGTTTGTTGCTATAATAATTGTTAATGTGGAGATTTTAATGAAAATAATGTAAAATTAAAAAATATATTTCAAACTTGATAAATTATGCCTGAAATTCAGATCCCTAAGCACTGAATTTGATTACACTAAAAACAGATTACAAAAAATAAAGATTAGAAAGTAAAATTCTTTCAAGATATTTTTTTGGGTTCTTGATGATGCCCCCATCAATAACGACTTCGAAGTATTTATTCTGATCTTCGGTAATCGTTCGGGAGGTTACAATTCAGCCACTTAGATTGTGGGATAACCGCTTGACGATTATACTCCGAAAAACTCAACGGTCTCAGTCGGGTGGTTGGAAGCATCCTGATGTGCCAAACTGGCTTTCGGGAGTATCTCCATGGGTTGAATTGTAATATTCACCAACCAACCACGTTCCTGAATCAACATTCATTGGGCTACCGACAAGCAGTTAAGGGTTCAACAATCTGCCCCCTCCCACAAGAATGTTAAGGGTCACGTCTCTGAATACTTTGAGATGTGACTATTCACATGACAACCTCTCTATGCTCGAGTGATGCAGACGCATAATTGCGACAGTCAAATGGCACGGAAGGGGGTTAATAAAACCTTTTGTCCGTCATTCTCGCATTCTTCTTATTTTTCTTCGCGTCTCTGCAATTTCTTTCAAACTTCAACCCTCTTAACCTTCGTGCAATTTCCCTAAAAAAATTTGAGTTTCTCGATCCCCTTTCCCTTTTTCTTCCGAGAAGAGAGATGAATTCTACCATACCCTTCGATGGATCCACACTCTACCCTGCATTGACTTCATCTCCGGCCACCACTCCAGTGGTTCGGTCTTTTATAGAGCTCCGACTTCCTCCAACACAACCGCCATCTGACCATTAGCAACGAGGCTTTCAATGCCACATGCTTGTGGGATGGGATCAAAACCAATCTTTTGGACCCCAAGGAAGAATTCCGCACCTGGTATGAGAGGGTAGAGAAAACCTTCGGGAAATAATGTCAACAAAAAGGCTTGGACAAAGCCATCCAATTCTCTTGCCAAACCTTCAACATCCGAGATACCATAATTCGGAGAATGGCTGCTTTATGGATTGAGAGGTTAGTGTTTTCTTGCTACCATCTTGCCCCATCAACCCGAGCTTGCTAGATGTGGCAATGATCGCTCAACTCCTAATTGTGGGTGAAGAGCCCGTGGTCGAGACCCTAGATGGTTCAGAACTAGAAACTGACCACCTTGGGTGGAAAGTGAAGGCTAGCCCGAAGAACAAGGTGGTCATCTATGGGCTCTTCATCCCCATGCACTGCGGCGCGAAAGACACCCAAGTGACCGATGAAGAGCATGTTGCTTTCCTTCTGTTCTGTCTCTCCAGGTATGTCATTCTCCCCATTTTCTTTGATTTACTTTTATCAATCCATATCGATATATTCCTTTGCTATTTGTTTGGTTTTATAGGTACATTATCTGTCTCTATTCCAAATCCATTTCTTAAACCCATACCGATATTGCAATTCATTTTTCAATGGCCGATTCTTATCAATCTTTACCTTATTCTTGGACAATTTTTTCGAGGGCCTAGCCAAACCTCTCTAAAACTTTCTAGCCCTTGAAAACTTAATACCATTTGTTCCAGCCCTGTCTGGTCTTTGAAATTTTTTTCCTGGTTGTACTTCCCGACCATTTTCTTTGGTCACGTTACTCTCATTCTTGATTCAGGTATCTTATTCGGCCAGTACCGCCTATTTTTGTGTCTTGATCGGAAAAGCCACAAAGATCCTGAGGTTGTGATCAAAGCCATTTTGGAAAACCGATCTCTCTAACTCCAATTATTATCCTTACTCTCATCTTTCTGCCTTTGCAACTTTGCCCTTATACTTTCTTTCTTCTATTCCATATACGCACCCGCTTCCGATTTCCCTTCCATATCTAACCTTCTCTTACTCCTAGGATTCGGCCTTGAAACCCCGATCCTTTTTTGCTAGTAAAAAGATAGATTAAAGTAGGAAAGCCTACGCCATATTCCCTTACCAACCGCATTACCTGACCCGCCAATTCAGGTGTCTCCAGGACATTCCCGCCTTAGTGCCCATTCCCGTCTTATTCGTACCCATGCCCAAAATAGTGTAACATCCTACACCATTAAACCATACACCGATCATCTCATTGCTTACCTCAAAAATCATACCTACACCCCATTTAGAATTTTACCAAATAACATTCGAGCTTTTCGGGGATGGAGGTCAGATCTAGCCTGGCCCGTGGTCGGTAGGCCTGTCGCTGATTGCATGTGTATTTTTTTTCCACCGCCAGCTGCTCATTCGGGGTCCCAACTCATATTTCTTCCCCATCCTTTGACAAGGAAAATTGCTCCGGGGCCCCCACAACCCAAATGACAAAAAATTGCCTAGGCTGAAGGTGCCAACTCTTCGTGCAAGAAAGCCAAAACTACCACAACCGTGCAACCTGCCTACTCGGAGACTCGTCGGGTGGCCAAGGAAGAATATATGACTGATCTGTCAGTGGACTTGTCCCTTTTCCCAGAGTTCTACCTTTCCGCATCACGACCAACTCCTCCAAGTAAAACCACCCTACCTTAGTAAATTCGAAGACTTTAGTCACTACTTGTTCCCTCATTGTGAACCTCCGTCAACCTGACTTCTACACCAACCATCCATCAATCCAATCAACCAACTGCAGTGGTAGGCCGACACCAAACATCAATCCCCACTCCTATCGAAATGACACCTCATGCATCGGCCGCACACAAACTCCTCCACCCGAATGGACCCCTGCTCTTGAGGTATTTCCCAAAGTTTACCTCTTTTGTTATTCCAAATGTCCTAACATCTCACTTTAATGTTAGGGACCTGCTGCCCGAGATGAGGCTAAACTAGTCGAGCTACCGATTTTCCGATTACTCACCAAGGTGCAGGGGCACCGGTCGAGAGGCAAGACCCCCCATGGAAGGCCACTATAGCTCGCCTCTTTCTCAGGTATTTTTTAACTCTTCCGTTTCACTTTCCATTTCCCTTCTTACTTATGCCTTTTTTTTCTTTCATTGTTTTGAGGTTTGGCGAGAGGCCGAAGCTTTCATAACTGACCACCAGCCAATGATCGACCAGAATGTTGAGGTGTTGGTCGAGAGGCAAGATCCTCCTGTTGAGGTCCAAGATCTTTCCAGCTCGTCCTCTCATTAGGTGCCCGACAAGGCTCCATTTTCTGTAAGACATCCCGGAAAATGTTTCCCTAATCTATCTCCCCTGAGGTCCGACAGGTGTTATCAACAATATCGGGGAGGGCCCTTGCCAGCATATCCGTAGTTGAACTGAATAACCTAATGGACAATCTCCTTGACTTACGAGCACCCAACTGATTGGATCTCCATCCATCTGTGTTCTCCACAAATTCTAGGACGACTATCCGAAGTGGTCATAGATTTTCCGTCCTCCAGTCGGCAACGGCTCAAGACCTCCAACCGTACATTTCCCCAAGTAATTTGAAAAAAAAATAAATGAAGTGGACACTGCTCTGGCATGATCACAAGAACAAATTCATGCCCTCCAATTATCTGAAGAGCAACTATCTGCAAACATTGTCTGAAACCAACAAGAAATTGAGCACTTGAAGAGAAAGCTCGAAAAACAGATAAAAGAACTGGAGGAGATAAACATGTTCCTATCCAATGAGCAGCAAATCGTGGCAAATCATTCACATCGTCGTGCAGATCTCGAGAACTAGTGAAAAAACTTGTAAACATTCTTGTAAACACGTGGCTAACTTCACACCATAACCCTTGAGAACTAGTGAAAACAACGCACATACATTAAATAAATAGCTAGCATCTTGCATGTTAAACAATTGTCGATCTTGAAACTCTTGATAACAACATCTCTTGATACTATCAATGATGTCTTCTTAACAATCTCATGTTCGTGTCCCAACCAGGAATTGAGAAAATGTTCTTTAACCTAACCTGGTTGGCCAACACCCTGTATCCGGCCATCCCAACGATTTAGTTTAACTTTTAAAATATCTTGATTTCAAATTCAAGTTCTCCCAAGGGGACGCCGAACCCTACACCAAACTACCCGTTTAATGCAACAAGTTGTGGATGGTTATAAAA